CGTGAAGACGCTGTGTGCTTCGTTGTGAAAGCTATGCTACTTTGTTTGGTCTTCCAAAAGAGGACGATATCCGCTTCGTCATACCTAGAGCTGATCCGTGCTGGTCGCTGAGGAAATACATCAACTTTGCGCTGTGGATCGCCGGATCGGCTTTCACCTATGAGGCGCCGGGCTGGACAAAAGTGAAGCGAACGCGGAGAGAGAGTGCGACAGTTCGCGAGAGAGACCGAAAATGTGCGTGAGAGAGACCGAGTGCGTCTGAGAGAGAGCGAGAGTGCGCGAGAGAATGCAGACAGGGTTTTATGTTTACGTGGCGCGATGCAACGCAATGCGTAAAAAGACAGTATAAGTCATTATAATCAGTAATTATGCCCCCACCGGATACAACAAATGCCTCGTTTGTAATGGGTTTTAATGTTTTTGTCTCGTCGCTCCGGCCGGACAGGGCATCATCACAATATGGTGAGGGGCGTAACATTTTCGTCTCACGCTTGAGGTATTCAGCCAATCACAACGCACTGGATAGCTGGCCAATCAGAGCACACCTCGCTTTTCAGACCGATGAGCTTTGTAAAAATCGACGTGTTTCAAAAAGGCGGGGCATAGAGGAGAAACAATAATGTACAGTATGTGGAAAATAATATTTTTTAAACTTTAAACCACATAAACACATTTCATTACACCAAATACACAAAATAATGTTCTTTTTAGCAGCATCATGATACTTTAAATAAGAAACTAAAACTGCCAGCAGGTGGCGGTAAATGCCTTTATACATCATTCATTTGTTAATTCGTGATTCATTCAGGAATGAAGTAAATGACTCAGTTTATGAACAGGCTATTGAATCATTGGATTTGTTTAAAACGCGGAATCATTCAGAAACTAAACACTGCTGTGTTGCTCACAGACGCTTAACAGTTCTGCGGTGGCTTTAAAGGTAATATTTTCTATGCAAAATTGAGCAAAAAATACTATAACACAATAATAACTACTTATTTACTGAACTGTTGTATAAAATCACATTTAAACTCATGACCGAGTTTACATTTACATTTAAACTCATATTCGTGACAAAACGGCACTCGTGTGATATTGCTCTCGCTGCTCATGTGGTATCGCTTATCATATGATATAAATATGAGACAAAAACTCATAGGGGCATTTTTGCCCCAATATCTTGAATTTTAGGAGCATAACAGTTAACTGTATGAAATGTAAGATGACGTACAGGTCTGGGGGCGGGGCCAATGCATTAACTGCGTTAAAATATTTTAATCGCATTATTTTTTCGTAACTAATTAATTAACGTGTTAAACTGACAGACCTTCTATATATATATATATATATTAGTAAAATAATATACATAAGTGTATATATATACAGTGGGTACGGAAAGTATTCAGACCCCCTTACATTTTTCACTCTTTGTTATATTGCAGCCATTTGCTAAAATAATTTAAGTTAATTTTTTTTCCTAACAATAGAAAGTAAGAATACAAATGAAATAAAATAAATAGTAGTTACTAGTAATAATAATAACTATTATTATTAGTATGTGTATATGCATATGTAATAGCCCCAGCTTCCTGTTTTGATACTTTCTTGAACTTGTCAAGGCAATTAAATGGTTCAAAAGGACGATACAATACAAAAACCTCAACCTGAAACCGTTCAGATGACGGCATTTGTTTCAAACAGGACTAAAACTTGAAATGCTCCCTGCCTCTGTAAGAGAGGTCAACACGACACCCCGAGAGGCTGGTTTGCGGGCCGTGAGAGAACAAGAGTACTGTGAGAGATGAAAGGCTCGTCTTAATTCAGCTGCTCTCACTCCCAACAGCTGGGCCGTGTCCTGCGGAGCTCAGGCCGAAGAGCACAGCCCACAATCAAGCTAGTGTTAGAGATGCGTGAGGGGAAACACGTCTGAGGTGGAAACTCCAAAGCCCCGTCCCATGAGCCCTGTGTCATATCAAGCTTCTTTAATAAAGAGTTCTGCTTTATCGATAGGCTTTGTGCTTTATAAGACGGTGTAGAGCAACATGAACATGATGGAGAAAACGGAAAAGCATAATCTGATGATGCAGCTTCAGAGCGGAGTAGTAACGGATTACATGTATTCTGGATTACGTAATCAGATTCCAAAAATGAAGTACTTGTAATTGGATTACATTTCAAAATACTTGTAATCAAACTACAGTACAGTTATGTATTACATTATTATATGTTTACACAATAGCAATACATTATTCAAAATTGATTGATTCTCCCTAATTCTTTTTTTTTCATCTTTTAAATTTCCTTTCTAAAATAGCCTACTGTTTATATACATTCAGAAAGTCTTCTAGTTTTGTAGACATTCACACAAAGACCAGTCAGTTTTAAGAAGTGTTTTCTCAACATTTCAACAGTGCACCAACTATGAACTTATTTTTATTTGAAATATCACTCAGTGGTTATTTAACCATGTATTCTTATGTCTCCGGAAGGCTTTTTTCTTTCAAACATTAAAAAGCACACATTAACGTTATTTCTTTACACTTTGCATGTTGCACACATTTGCGTGTTCACGGTTCTCTGATGTTGGTTAATGGTCACATGACATGCAGATAAACAAATAAAATATTGAATCTTTTTTAGTAAGTGTTTTGTTTTGATTGCTGTTATTTTAAAAATATTTATTTGAAATGTTTATGATTTCATTCATTATTAGCTTTTCTTTTAACTCACAAACCCCCTGCAGTTCATATTAGTGCTGTCAAATTATTAATCGCGATTAATCGCATCCAAATTAAAAGATTTTGTTTTTGTGTACTGTGTATATTAATTATGTATATATAAATACACACACATGCATGTATATATTTAAGAAAAATATGTTGTTTATATTAAATATATTTATATATAATATAAATTATATGAATATAAATATATACATATAAATACTAGAGCCCGACTGATATGTTTTTTTGGGGGGGCCGATACCGATATTAGGGAGTAATAAAAGATCGATATCGATATATCGGCCGATATTTTTTATGTGTAGGCTATATTATAGTATATTATAGTCAAATGTTTGGACACACTTCCCATTCGTGTGTCCAAACTTTTGACTGGTATTGTATATAGAATACAGTATATAGCCTACATAAACAGAATATATATACATAAACATTTTTTGTAATGATAACTCAAATGTGGTGTTCAAACAGTGATAACAATTTAACAATAAACTTTATTATTCAAAATTAGTCTGACATCAGTGCACTTAACAGTAAACTTCACTTCACTTATTATAAATAACTTAACACCAATAGAACAAAATATATATAACTTGAATTAAGAAATTAAAC